ATGTTCATAGAGCAACTTGTTATAATGCTTCTTTCTAGTGACTGGAGAAATCATCCAAAATTCTGGGTTTATCCCATTTAAATTCACTAAAGTGTCCCTGGGACTCAGCTCCAGCCCTCAGCCCAGTTTGGCATGCTGCACTGGGTGCTTTGGGCAGATGGAGACTCTCGCTGTGGCGCCCAGCCCCACACCAACAGGGACAAGTCAGCCAGAGGCAGCCCAGGGCTCCCACCAGCCTCCTGCCATGGGCGGAAGAAAAGAAATCAGGCCTTCAAAATTGGGGAATTCCTTTTAGCTTTCCTCTCTCTTTTTTTTATTATATTTTGTCTGAGATGACAGAAGACTGATCTCTGCTGATGTGCAGTCCCAGACTATGAAGATACCCAACCTTGAGGGTAGGATGTAACAGCAACCGGCACAGGGAGCCCAAAAACTAGCAAATTATTTATTTGGGATTTTTTTTTTTTCGTGTCTAGTATGTTGTTAGTTTATTTGAAGTAATGGATAATAAATAATGTTCCCCTCCAGAAGCTAATTTTGTTCACTTCTAATGTATGGCACAAAACCTCTAGTTTCTTTCCAAGTGTCGGAAAATCGGAAGGTTGAAGAATAAAGTGTGGTTAAAGGCTGCTTTATTGCTGCCTGTTGTGGTTTCAAAAATTATTTTCTCAAAGCGTTACTTTAGCAGGAATAGATCACTGGTGCATTTTGGAAGTAAACAAATGCAGTTATGAATACCTGTTAGATGTATCAATTTAGGTTTAAGACTATGTATATACAGATCCAGTACAAGACACAGTTTGTGTTACATGGATGCCTAAATTTGAGGATAATTTTTCTTCTTGTGCATAACTTCTTGCCCAGTGAGAGTTTAGGAGATAAAACCACTGGTTTGGGGGGGGGCGGGGGGTGGCGACACACTGCATATCACCTTTTTGCAATATATTTCACAAATCTCATGACCTACTCTTACTCTTAAAAAAAAAAAAGTGAACTGTTTTTAACGCAGCATTATTAAGCGTGAATTTTTAAGCTTTTCCTTAAAGCACGGATGGGCCGAGATGAGAAAAGCTTCGGCTCCTTCCAGAGAAACATCTCCTCTGCAGGGATGGATGTTACACTGAATCACTTCATTCCCAACCTTAAAATTTGTTATCATTGGACCTAGATGCGGGGAACCCCAGCTCTGCGTTCCTCTGCCTCTGGGCTACAGATCTCACAGCAGAGTTTCAATTAAGGAATGAGTCTTGGTCTCTTCCTTGGTCTTGTGAACTTCATGTTTTAAGAAAATTCCTTGAAGTTTAGTTGTTGGCTTTGGTTTTTTTTAGAGCTGAGCACTGAAGGGAAATGTGTAACAATACTATTTTTTTTTTTTTTTTAGCTTCCCAGTTTAGTTTTAAATTCACTTTGGAAAGAAACTTGAAATACTTCACTCCCAGACAAGTCGAAACAGAGCATTTTTTGAACTGTGAAATGAATATGCCATCAATTGGTACCAAGCAAACAAAGGGTCAGGCAAAACCTTGCCCACTTGCATATTTTTATGGATGTTACCTATCATGGTGATGTCAGTGCGATTTCTTCTATAGAAAAGGGCAGCTTATACCAGAAAATCTGCAGAATCAGACCCAAAGGGAGTATCTGATTTTCTCAGCAGGATCAGCCTTCATTGAAAACTTGCTAGTTAAAACGCAAGATAGATGTAATTCTGAATTTTCCTTCCCACCTTGAGTTTCCTTTACCAACCATTCAGTTTCGCCGTTCCCTTCTCCGGCTCTTCTGGACCTACAGAAGCAGAAGCAGAAACGGATCATGCCAGCTCTGACCTCTGAGCAAGCAGCGACTCCCAGTTCTGTATGGAGCGACACAGGACCCGGCGTGAGTCATCTCACTATGCCTGTGTCTGAAAAGGGATTTGAGTCACCAACATGTTAAATAACCCATTCCTTTCACCAGGGCAAAGAGTCAGCCTTGCATTTCAATACTATACTTACCATTTTGCATTTGAAATCTATTTTTACGGTAAAATGATACAAAAAGCGATGTAACATGTGAAAGGAACAATAGGGATTATAAAATTAATGAGAAAACAGTGAAACACGACTCAAACGAGACAAAATGAACTGAAAATAGAGGGCAAGTCATACAAACAGGAATAGGGTGGAGGATTTTGTGTAATGATGCACATAATTGGTTTCATACAGATGCTTTTACAGTATCTTCCCTTTCCAAGACTCACAGATGATGCCTCTTGTTGCAATAAAATGGAAAGAAAAAAAGTTTAAATTGTCTTTTCTTGCAGATCTATTTTATCTAATAAAAACTCTGGAAACATGTACTTGGATCTCACTTTTAAAAATCCATAGAAAAGGATTATTTTCTAACAAAAGCTTATTTTTCAAAACATGGGCATTAAGCATTGCAGCAGGAAAACATAGAAAGGGAGTAAGAAAAGTATGGACTTAAACTAGGGTTTTCTTATGCGGAACCCGAGTTAATATTGATATGATTTAAATCAGCTACAGAATGAATTGCTTGATTTCTGGAGTATAAAACAGATCACTACATCCACTCAAACTTGATAAAGGGGAAGTGATGTTTTAACCTATTCTTTTCCTCTTCCTTTTCATGAACTATCACTTTCACTGGAGGATCTGAAAAGCCAACTAATCTTCTAAATTCCATTAAAAAAAAAAAGCAAACACAAAAAAAAAAAAAAACCCAAAAAACCCCAGAGTAAAGCTGAATCAGCTAAACATCTTCCAAAACTGCAATTTATTAAGCTTTTTTTCCCCCTCGACAGACATATTGGCAATAGTCCAGGTGGGGTTTTTTCCCCTTGCAATATTGCAGTTCTGGGGATGAGAGCAGTTGAAAGAAGCTGTGTCGGTTGTTTTGGTTTTTTTCCACGGTCGTCTTCTAAGTGCTGAAGAGCCTGAACTGACAGTAACAGAGTGCTCTAAAAGTTGCCTTCCGGCTCCTACGAGGCACAGCGTTTTGCAAAATCCCAGCCGGCAAGCTTCGGCGGCTTAGTGCTCGCCACCCCCTGGTCTCCCTGGCACGCAAAGCCCTTGTGGGCAACATCTCTGGAGGTGAGCACCCGTATTTACCCCCGGTGGCAGGATGACCCCCGAAGGGGAGTACAAGAGACCCGCTCCTCCGGGCGGGCTGACCCCCCCGCTCCCCGGCAGCCGCGGGGTGCGCTGCCGGCGCCCTTCTCGCCGTCCCCACAAGGGGACAGTGCAGCCGCGGGGATGAGGGCTCAGCGCAACCCAGACGTTACCAAGGAGGGGGAGGGAATAAAATAAAAGGAAAACGATATAAAGCGTCTTGCATAAATTCATAGAATTGACGTTATAACCACCAGGGCCACATTTACATGCGGGGTTTGGCTTTGCTTCTTCCCACAAACTCCCTAAGTTTGCATCTTGTATATATAACTATTTGCGATTGCCCCCAAGAAATCTTTTAATTCAAGGCTCCGCATCCTACCTGCTGCTTCGCATAGTTCACAGCCGAGCGCGGAGCGTGTCAGCAATGCCAACCGCCGGGCGACACGGCGGTCCCTAAGTCAGGCAGATGATGCTGATTTTGCCCTGAAAAGTACTACCTTTTGGGGTTTTTTTATCCTCCATAGGGAGAATTTAAAAAAAATAAAATAAAATAACAATAAA